TCATGATTCTATTTGGGATTTTCTCAGCTAAGGTTCTAGAGTGATTTGCCATTTCCTTCTCCAGTTAATTTTACAGAAGAGGAAACTGAGGCCAACAGGGTTAAGTGACTTGCCCAGGGTCACACAGCTAGTGGCTGAGGCCAAATTTGAACTCAGGTCTTTCTGACTCCGGGCCTGGCACTCTATCTATTATTCCACTTAGCTGCCCATTAGAGTCCTTGGCTATGCACCAAGGAACTCTTCTTTCCAGGTCAAGATTTTATCATTTTACCTCAGTAGCTGGTAGGAGAGAAAGTAGCAGACATCCCTGAAGAGATTAGACAGCTGAGGTCCCACTAATGGTAGCAGAGAACAGTCTGGCAACCACAATATTATGGGAGATACCTTTCAGAGACTATATAGTCATTGGCAAGTCAAGGTGTGCTTAAACTCAGAGAGCAGCACAATGATATCACATCTATGAATAGCTCTGTAGAATCAGACAAATAAGTTGCCCTGGCCATGCAAGTTACTAGGTATGTTCCCAGACTACACAAGACTTCTGGCATGAGTCCTGATCACAGGTTCCCATTACCAGGTTATATATCTTCCTCATAAATGTGCCTGACATATTGCTACCTGGTCACATGTATTCTCTTCATTATGTACCTTTCCCTATTGTTGGTGTAGTAACTATTATGTAATTTGAGTAAAGGTCTTTTGTTTTTAGTTAATCAACTAATCAACAGCATTTATTGTTTCCTCTGGATGCCTGGTAAAAGTAAATGCAAATTTGAGGGCCCATGAGGTGTGGTTTGGAATGGTTGTTGAACCATTGAGTACCTCAAACCTGTCATGACTTATCTGGTGTTGAGGACTTCCTACCTGAAACCTATTCTAATTGCTGTCATTTGTAAATGCTCTCTCCTGCCTTCAAATGATCTCTAATTGTTTATCTACATAGTGTTGTACTCCCACACCCTTCACCATAACTCTTGAAATCAGAGAGTGTTTTGTCTTCTATCTAATGAAGTATCACATGTGTAATCTCCTTAACAACTAATAGCTAATTTTATTTATACAGTGCTTGCTATATAATCTCTTCAATAGCTAATAGTTAATATTCACCTATGGGCCAAATACTATACTAAGTGCTTTAAGATTATTATCTCATTTTATCCTCACAACAACCCTTGGGGGGTATGGGGTGTTCAGGGAGGACTAGTACCTCTGGTGTGAGGGCTGCTCATTCACCTTTGGTATCCACCTGCCACCCAGCTCTCCTCTATGGCTCCAAAAAGTGTAGCATCCTCAGCAACCATATCCCTGTACAACTATCTCAGTCTAAACTAGTTTGAGGGTAACCAAAAAGCTTCAAACTCATAAGTGAGTTAATGGGTGTCTACTCCAAGCATGTGAAGAGTTCCCTAGTGGAATAGGCAGATGTGAATATTGAGTTTCAATGGGCCATGAAGGAGGCAGAAGCATTTAGAGCTTGGTCAGAGATCAAGGATGCCAAGCATATCCACTGCATCACCAGTTGTCCTGACTTTTATCCTGCCACTGGGCTCTGATGACTCTGGAAGAGAGAGTGAGGCTGATTATTTCATGCAACTCTGCCTCACTTAAATCCAACTTACACAAGAATCAAAAGGCATGACCCATACCATTTTACTATTTCATTATTTTATTATTTTACTATTTAGCTATTTTATTATGACACGGCCGCTGCAGTGGTGAGCATGAGACCAGCTCAAAACTCTTAACCCGGAGGTGCATTGATGAGGCGGGAGACGGCAAGATGACAGAAGCTCCGTTTATTAAGTGCTAGTAGCTTTCTTTTATATCCTTAGTAACATCTGATCAAAGCATGATCTCCACGTGATAGCCAATCACCAAATCTGCTGGACACCTGCAGCCCTCGTGTCAGGGGTATGAGTAGGATTTTTCGCCCAATGAGAGGAGAGCCGAGCCAACCGTGGGAGCTGCGTGTCAGCAAAGGAGAGGTCTTGTGAGACTTCCTTGTTTTTGCCACACAACAGGTTGTGACCCTCAGCTTCTGGCAAGAGAAGCTAAAACTCCCATGGGAAAATTCTCCCAACATTATTACTTATTATTTTATTATGTTACTGTGTTGCTGTTTTACCTTCTTACTATTTTACCTAACATACATATATATATATATATACACATATATACACACACACACACACACACACACATATATACACATATATATACATATATATGTATAGCACTGGGAGCTATAGTCACAACCCTACATGCAGACAGCCCAGGCTATAGTATTATTTTCTCACTGTACTGAAGCAGTAGTGGAATTTGGCAACTCCCTGGATGTCTGAGCAGCCTTCTTAAAGACTGAGCTGCTCACCTCCTGGCATGAGAAAGGGGCTAGAAAAGGTGCTCTAAAAATTGTCTGCTTCATCTAACCCTGGACTGCTTACTGTGGAAGGGGACCCCATTCTGTAGTCAAAACACAAAAACATATACAACTACTTTTGTGAAGATGATTCCCCTCACCATTGGTATATAGAATGTGCAAGTGCTTATGAACAATAAGAAATTCAGTAAACCTGAAAGACAGACAGTTCTTGTTGAGAGAGAACTTAACAGGTATCTTATCCAAATATCACCCCTAAGTGAAACAAGGCTGGCAAATGAAGGCCAGGTCCTGAAGCCGGAGCTGGAGACACACTTTTCTGGAGTAGCCACAGTGATAGGGAGTACTGTCAAGTGGCATAAATTTCCCAATCAAAATTAATCTTGTCAACAAGCTTGTGTGCCTCCTGAAAGGAATGAAGGACAGGCTCATGACAATGTGATTGCCACCTACAGGAAAGCACCATGCCACCATCATCAGGTGCGTATGCTCCCACTATAATGAACAATCCAAAACACTTTTATGATGCCCTGAAGGCTATTTATGAGCCAAAGACTCATGGTGCATCTCAATTACTCAGAGCTGATGGAACCACACTGATCACTGACAAGGATATGATCCTGGAGAGATGGGCTGAACACTTCCAAAGTACTTTCAACAGACTGTCATCAAACAATGCTGAAGTCATTGGCTAGTTACTTTAGGCTGAAGTCAATTCCCCTTTAGCTGACTTCCAGCAGAAGAAAAGGTTTTGAATGCCATTAGGCTCCTCTCATATTAGGCTGCCTGAAGGTCTGCTGAAGGTCTATAGAGCCATTGTGCTGACCTCATTGTTGCATGCTTGTGAAACCTGGACAGTCTACCAGTGCCATGCTGGAAAATTGAAGGGCTTCCATTTGAATTGTGTTAGGAAGATTCTGCAGATTACCTGGCAAGATAAAGTACCACTGAGGTCCTTTCTTGAGCTGAACCGCCAAGCATTCAAACTCTACTGCAGAGAGTACAACTCCAATAGGCTGGCCATGTTGTTTGAATGCCAAATGTATGTTTGCCTAAAAGACTATTTTACAGAAAACTCACACAAGGCAGGCACTCACATCAGAAGAAGCAACACAAGGACACTCTCAAGGTCTCTCTGCAGAAATTTGGTATCAGTTGTGAGACATGGAAAACAATGCCTCAGGATCATCCAGCTTGGCATGCCTGCATCAAAGAAGGCATGCTGTATGAGAAAAGCAGAATTGGGGTAGCTCCAAAGAAATGTTAGATGTACAAATTTAGACACATCACCCTTCCAAATGGTCATAGGGACGATTTGTGCCCAACCTGTAGTAGAGCCTTCTGAGCTCATACTGGTACGATCAGCCACAGCTGGACACACTGCTCATTGATCCCAACCCCTTGATGTCATTTTGGTCAACTTCAATCACAAAAGACAAACAATACCTCCATTTTACAGATAAGAAAACTGAGGTAAACATGTTAAGTGACTGGCCTGGGGTCACTTATAGAGGCTAAATTTGAACTCAGGTCTTCCTGACTCCAGGCCATGTTCTAACCAGTGTTCTACCTAGAAGAAATGGTTTCTTTTTCCCCTTTTTATTCCTAATATCTAATATAGTGCCTTATACATAGTAGTTACTTAAAAAATGCTTTTGGGCCAGATCAGATTGAATTAAATAGGTATTTAATAAAATACTGTTTCAATTAAACTGATTAGTGATTAGTGAGTTCCCAAACCCTGAAGATCCTTAGGCAAAGGCTGGATGACATTTGTTAACTATGTCATAGACTCTACAAAATAAGTTGTTGGTTCTCAAAGTGTGGTCTGAAGATCCCTGGGGCAACCTAAGAACTTTGAGTGGGTCCAGGAAGTGAAAAGTATTTTCAAAATGATACTGCCATAATTCTCGTATGAAAATATTCTGTCCTTTTCCAACCACATACCTGTGTGAGTTTGGATTTTTCTTCATATATTTCAAACAACACATCACAACAGACTGATTATAGAAGCAGATATGAGAATCTAGCTGTCTTCTATTAAGCTAGACATGAAAGAGATTTAAACAATATGTATTGCCTCTTCTCACTGATTTTTGTTTTGGAAAATGTGGTTATTTTTTCATAAAAACTACGTTTACATTTAATGGACCTGTTATTGTTATTTAAATTAATAAATTTGTGTATAAAATGAATATTTAAAAAATCAGTTTCAATTTTGAATGTGGTAAATGGCTACATAATAACTGACATAAATAAAAGTTATTTATTGTTCTCAATAATCTTTAAGATTGTGAATGGGTCCCTAGACGAAAAAGTCCCAGAACCACTACAACGAATACAGAGTGAAGTCCCGCCTACGCAGGTGCTACGGTGTAAGATACTATGTCAATCGCCCTACTCAAAGCAGCCCATTGCGCACGCGCGCATTTAAAAGCCTCCTTACACAGGTTATAAGCCCCACCCCTTCCGTATCTTCTACTCTCCTCTTCCTGCTGCAGCGAACCGAAAGCACCAATTGCTTCCCTACTCTCCTGTGTCGTCATTTTTACGTGCCCCAGTTTCAAAACGCTGTAGGAGTGGCTGCTTGCGACGCGCATGCGCGCTTGTCTCTCTAGCCCCACGCTTCTCTTGTTAGCCCGAGTTGTCTTGGGTCTATAGGGAGGGAGGTTTGAGTTGCGGTCGCCGCTATGGGCAAGCCGGCTTCCAGCAGCCAGGGAGACCCTGGGACCGAGAGCCGGGGCGACAAGAAATCTAAGGCCCGGAGCGAAAAGGAAGCCAGAGCCCGCAACGACCCGGTGTTGAATTTCGAGCGATGGAAGAAGAGACACATCCGCAAACAGAAAAAGATGAAGGAGCTGAGGAAGCAGCTCAAGAAGCCCGAGTGGCAGGTGGAGCGGGAGACCATCGGCCGCCTGACCACGGAATACGAGAAGGTGAGGGCCGGAGCCAGGGACAGGGCCTGGCACCCCCGGGGAGGGGACTATGGCATGAGGAGACCCACGGGGAGGGGACTCGAAGGGAGGGGGCGGGCGTGTCCTAACGAGACCCTCGGGGGAGGGGATAGATAGTTGAGGAGGTGGGGGGAGGGTGTCTTGGAGAGACTGGGCTATGGATTGTAGCTGGACTCTAGGGAGTCGGGGCTGGGGGCTAGCCTGAGGTAGGGGTTTGCACGAGAAGACCCCTGAGGCAGGGGGCTGTAGATGTTTCTTTTGTAGAGATGTTTCTTGAGCAACCCAGAAAATAGCTGGCTCTGAGTTCCCAGCGCTAGCCATTTTGGAAATGCCATCCTAGTAAACTTGGTAATCTAAGAGTGACACTGGGGCACACTTTCACTCTCTCACGTATAGTGCCTTTGGTGTGCGTTTGTGCATCAAACGTAAATGAATTCCGTGCTGAGTGACCTTTTTGTTCATGAGAAAATAGTTGTTGGAATGTTGAAGAGTTACGCTTTTAGATTCATAGGTATTTATTCATCATTCAGAACTTAGGAAGTGCCTTCTATGGACAAATTATGGTTTTAGGCATCCGTTTGGGGGAAAATAAAGTAAATAAGACATAGAGCCCCAGCTCTTGGTAAGAAGTAAAGAAGAGGATGGAATTGAGGTGTGTGAAAGAAGAGGGCTATGGCCTGGATATAAGCTAGGGAGGGGAAAAAATAGGGTTGTGGTGTTAGGAAAGAGGGTTTGGCATGGTCATCTAGAGGTTGGGGTATAGGGTTGGCGGTGACAGAGTTGGGGGATGAATGTTTCCTTGGGGAGATAGGACTTGACAATCAAAGGGAGAGGCTAAGATGAGATAGGACTGGCATGGAGAGAGTGTAGGGAAATAGGGTTGGGGGAATGGTGTGAGATAGTAGAGACAAGGAGGCTGGAAGAAGACAGTATTATGGAACTAATACATTAGGAGAAGTTAAGGTGTTAAAAAGGATATGTAGTGTGAGGGTTATAAATTCTGAGTAATGGGGAGCCATTGAGGCACCTGAAAGTAAAACAGGAATACAATGGTGTATTGATGGGTTCTCCAACTAAATTTAAAAGAATTTAATGTATAGAAATGGTACTGGCTTTAGGGGAAAATTTCTTTTCAGCTTGACATATGTTCTCTGTAAGGGACCCTATTTAACAGCAGCCCAAAAGCTGTTGTATTAAAATTGTAAAGTAAAGAGCAGTAGCTGCTTTCAGTTAGCTCTATAAATACTGTAGGTCTGTACAGGTGTATTGTTCTCAGGATCTGTGTTCTATCTGCCATATTCTGTCTGCCGGTATCTCCTTTTGAGTGTCTTATTTATGTCCATTTCTAACCTTTGTCACTAATTGAAAAGCTAAATTTTACCTATCTTGACCAAATGATCATTAATGGGTTTTTAGTTTATGTTAGAATTGAGTTTCTTAATTGCTCAGTAATTAGATAGAATATGTCATGAATTCCTGGAGATATCTTTTTTAAAATGCCTTAGGAGTGGATTTTGTATTCTACAGGTAACACTATATAGTGTCTCTATCTTTGCATAAAACACATTGAATATGGTACTAATTGCATGATTAATGAATGCTTGTTGCAGTATTGAAGTATTGTATATCTTTATAGACATTCATTAGATTAATGAAAGGTCACAAAGACATAGCACAGGAGAATGGGAAGTGGAGGGGGTGCCCTAAAAGAATATAGGCAATCAGTTATTCAAATAATTAATTAATCAATGAGTATTTATGAAGCACCTTTTTAATACCATACACAGTGCTAGGCACTGGAAATACAAATACAAAAAATGGAACAATACCTTTTCTCAATGAGCTTATGTTAGATCAGGGGAGTGTCTCTCTTCTCTCCCTGTTTCTCTCTTGTACATACATATACATATAATTATATGCAAAATAAATACAAATGAATAACATACAGAGTTAATAATAAAGCTGGATTGTGGGGTGGAGGATGAGGTTGGAGGGATATCAGTGGAAACAGGAAGGAATGACTTTAGGAGAGAAATTTAAAGATGGAACAGGACTTGGTTACTGAAGATTGGGGACAAATGAAAGACAAGATTCAGATAATTATGTTGTGAGTGTAATGGATAACATTGATGAGAAGATGCTAACATTGTCAGAAATGAGAAAGTCAACAAGCAAGCTTGAAGTGAATAGTACTAAGTTGTAACATTTTATGGTTTATACCAGTGGCCTCAAATTCAAATTGAAATGAGTGCTGCTAATCTATACTTAAGGATCCCTGTGAGCTGCATATTGACTTAGTTTTAAAATGTAATATTATCTACATTTTATTGTATTTTTATTTATTTTGTTAAATATTCCCCAATTACATTTTAATCAGGTTTGGGTTGTACTTAGGAGTGTTGTGCCACATGTGGCCTGTGTCATTTGATACATATAGTTTATGCTTTATTGCATTACCAGAAAGTTGGCCACCGGGTGTTGAATTTCTTTTGGCCACTCATGAAGGCATGTATAGCCTGTGATTGCACAAATTGACATAATCACACATCCTTGAAATACTTTATGAATGTTCCATAGTTGACTCATAATAATCCTATGAAGTTTGTAGTGAGGAGTTGTATTAAACAGGCTCTAGGGAAAAATAAAAGAAAAAAATAGTTATAGCAGCCAACTTTTCTGCTGCTAGTGAGCCTATGTGTTAGGGTGAATCTGCTTTTGCTATAGGAGGTTGCTGTTGACCTCAGCTTCCACATGTCCCAGTGTGAACATTTTGCCACACGATTCTAGAATCCCCTTTTCCTTACACCCCCAAGATGTCTATTCATTTTGCTCAGGCTGGTGGACAGTTCAGTTGGCCTTCCTTCCTAGCACTTGTCATCTATGTTCCCTTTGACTTTTCTGTATTTTTATAAGTATTACCTCCTCTTGGGCATTAGATTTCTTTTATTGCAGTCAAGGTGGCATTTAGCTTTTTTGGTTGGTTCATCACACTTGCTTGCTGATTCATATTGGAGGTTGTAATTAGCCTCCCTATATACCATCCCTTTACATATCAAGCTATTTTCCCCCCGTGTTAAATCTAGCATAAAGGAAACAGGAACAGACAACATGGACAATTGAGATACAATTAAATTTAAGCTGGAACTGGATGCAGATATCGAACTGAAATCTGCTGTCCTGCAATTTTTCCATTGTTCATCGGCCACCTAGCATTTATTAAGCACTTACTATGTCACATAGTAAGAGTTTTGGATTTGGAATGAGAGGACATGAGTTCAAATCCCAACTCTGCTATTTTACTACCTCTGTGACTTATCACCTAAGTTCTCTGGGCCTCATTTTCCTCATCTGTGAAGTGAGGGTGTTAGGACCTCTAGGATCTCTATCTCTAAGTCTTATCAACTCACATTTATGTAGCACACAAAGGCTTTTCCACAACAGCACTCTGAGGTAGATAATGCAAGTATGATTATCTTTATTTTGCAGATAAGGAAACTGAGGCTCAGAGAGATGTTGACTCAGTTTACCAAAACCTATTCTTGATGAGTTGACTGCCTTCTAAAATGCCATTGATTTTGCTTTCTGGTTTTCCTGTATGTCTGTTGGTTCTCCTTCTCTCCTCCCCGCTCCCAAAGTATATTTATGTATCTCAGTGTCCAGTATGTGAATATGTTTTCCATTTATATTATTTTATATCTTCTTTTTTCCAAAGAGAATATGATCTTACATCTTACAGAGTTGCTGTGAGGGTCAAATAAGATTATTAATATAGTAAGATACTTTGTAAATCTTCAGGTGCTTTGGACCTGTCCATTTACTATAATTGTTTTGGTTTGGGATGAACTCACACAGGAAAATGCTGTTTTTCCTAATCCATTTTTGAAAGCAAATGATATTTTTAAAACAGATTTTTGGGGAAAGGGAAGATAGAATTGTTACTTTGTATAGGGTGATTTATTTAAATTGTAAGGGTGATGGTCATTTGGTTTCATCATAGAAAAAACAAATTATATAGGTTAGTTCTTAAGGGCAGCAAAAAACATTAAAAAACTGTTAGGATAAAAAAATTATTGGGTGATTACTTAGTGTATTTCAGTGTAAATTTAATCTACACTTCTGTTTCATTTGCTTCTATTTTCTTAATTTTGGGTTTGGGAGGCATGGCTAGATCTTGTGTTCTACTGGTGTGTAGCCTTTGATAATACAGGGTCAATGTCATGTCACAGTGGGGCGTACTAAACTGTAGGAGGGGTTGTGGTCTAAGTTGATGGAGAGAGGGAGGGAGAGAGGGGAAAGGGAAGCGAATAAACATTTTTGTAGCACCTACTGTGTGCCAAGCATTGTACTAAGCACTCTTTCTGTGCTCTGTATTTATCATTTTTTACTGCTCAGTAATATTCTGTTACATTCATGTACCACAGTTTGTTCCCATTTGATAGGCATTTTCTTTGTTTCCAATCCTTGGTTATCACAGAAAGTGCTACTATAAGTAGTTTGGCTTGGTATACATAAGGACTTTCTTCTTATCAGTGGCCTACTTGTGGTGTAAGCCTATTGGTAGAATCTCTGGCTGAAATTGCTTTCCAAAATGTAATTCACAGCGTTACCAACAATGCACTGATGTGCTTGTCTTCCCACAACTCCTCCAACATAGACTTTTCTCATATTTTGTCACCTTTGCCAATTTGCAAATTGTGAAATAAAAGCCCAGTGTTGTTTTGTCTCGAATTTCTCTTATTATTAGTAATTTGGAGCATTCTTTCGTGTGGTTGTTAATAGTTTGCAGTTCTCCCTTTGAGACCTGTTTGTTCACACATCCTTTTACCACTATTGGGGAATAACTTTCTTTCTTATCCTAGGTACTTTAACTTTGTGCAGAAGCTTTTCAGTTTCATGTAATAAAAGTGATCTATTCTTATCTTTTGTAATTGTTTCTATCCCTTGTTTTGTTAAGAATACATCTTCTGTGTGTAGCTGTGAGA